GGCAAGAAAAGGGCCTATACTAGGCAAGAATTCTGGACTGATGGACAAGATGCACAAAAAACCAATTGTATTAAGTTTGTTGTGCTGAACTTTAAAACCATACAATAAATGCCGAGTATCAGGGCAAGAGATTCAACACCTTTTAAAATTTTACCTTACTAGTATAGCCCCATAAGATGAATCTCATTTTTAAGTTTTAGGAAAAACAAAAAGATCTCTGTATGTAAAGCAGATATCTAACAACCTACTGGGTGAACATATTCATTTTCATCTAATGCCTCCTAGTTCAGATAAGAAAGAGCAAAAACCCAAACTGGGGGGATGGGGGACTGCCAGTTGCTACACCTGCCACATACTTTCCTGTTGCTATAAATACATAAAACATGGAAAGAAGATGGCCAGTGCAGTGTTTAATTAATAGGGTACTATATTAAAGGCTCCTAGCCAATGTTGCATTTGTTATGCACTGCATATGAGGATGCAATCAACGTGTCAGACACTAAAACAATTTATTGCTGGATAAACGTGGTAGATAATCCACAAAAACTGCTCAGGAAAACATTCATGAAATGCAGAGCAGAGGATAAGGGAAAAACCTTTATTCCATATCAAATGAAAAAAAGATATTATGGTAGTGTATAATATCCAATTAATTATGGTACAAGATATTCTAATTTAAAACATACTTTTTGAATAAACATTTGCTTTCAGGGCAGGTAGCAGCAAGTTAAGTTTAAGATCTGTTAATTTACAGGCACTGATGGACAACATATATCGTAGGACAGTGCTTTTCTACCATTCATAAACAGAGCTCTGGCCTAAGAGCCAAATTCAACACTTTTCATCTTAATTTGTCATCATTTTGCATTGGAAAAATCTCTCTCAGGATCAGGAAAGAATAAGATTTATTTTTGGATAAAGGAACACAGTAGTTTAATCCCATATTTAAGGTTTGTAAAATTCAACTTTTTTATAATTGAAAAATCAGACCAATAGAGATATTTCCATAATTGAAGAAACTATTACAGACAAATGTAAATCTCTAATTCACCATGTTACAAATTTGCAACCTAAACACTGCAGTTTAGATACCCTAAAACAAGGCTGACTTTGTTTATGTTCAATGACCTACCTAAAAAGAAATGCAAAAATTAAAAGAGCATTCAAAAAAATCCAGTGAATTTTTCACTTCTGATAATCCATAATTTTGCCAATAAAATGAGTTGACAACATAAAATTTTAACAGCCTTCTTTAAATGATGGTGTGTCAACTTTGACACTACCCTTTTAAAAATTTGCATCAAAATATTTGTCATTTCAATGTTCCTCTATCTATAATTCATATGAAATTAAACAAGTATTTCTTTCTCTAGTTATGCTATTAAACAAGGGGCAAAAAAAAAAAATATGGAGAGCGAGCAAGCATCCTGGAGCTGTCAAAGTTTCTTCCATGAATATTCTTAAAAAAAAAAAAAGGAATACCTTCAGACTTATTTTCTTTGTTCCTTTCCTCTATTTCCTAACTTTTTTTTTTTCAATCAGATCTTGATCCTTTTTAGCCATTTTACCTTCCTAACTGATCACATAGCAAAATGGTTAAAATGGAAGTTGTAATGTTCTTCTAGCAACAGACTGACATTACAAAATAAAAGGTTCCAGTCGCAGAAACAGTTTGGTTGAAAGGCTATTTCAAATATTTGTATTTTCAGATTACCGACCGACAGATTGTGAAAAAGCAGCTGACAAAAAAAAAACAAAACTATTGTCTTTAAATCAGAGAAATAAATGGAACATTTCAGAGTGGAGAATCAAGTCCAGTAATCAAGACGAAATTTCTGTATTCAGCCTACTGTATGAATTAAAGATGAAAGTGCAAATTGAGATTTTGTAAAGATTTAAATACACAAAAAGTGAAGATGTACTCAAGAAAGCTAGCTGCTATTCAATAATGGATGCTGCATTTATAGCTTTGTGCAACACAAGCAGCTATGTAATGCTACTGAACTAATGGAAGACTTAAAGCAGCAAGAGACAAAAAGATTTCAACTGTACAAATAAAATTGGTAATGGATGATCCGGGCAAGCAGAAGAATTTTAAGCATACATTTCTAGCCCCCATGACAATGGTTCCCAACGTTTGTAGACATAAAGGCAGTGCTTGTTAAGACTCAAGACAGCCCATGGAAAATGAGTTAACTACATTTTCCAACTACAGGAAAATAGAGTCATTCTTCTGCTGCAAAGAACTGAGAATGACTCCAACAAGTCAGAACGTTTTTAACACTATGAATTCCTGAACTCTCGATTTATCTTGCTAATCACATTTGTACACCTGACAGCGCTAGAACTCCATGACATCCTTAAAATTATCTCAGGGTTTTTTAGAGCAGAGTTTCTCAACCCATGGGTTGCTCCATCAATTTAAGGGCTAAAGCAGACAGCCCCCAGGTGGCTGATCACACCGGTCATTTTCAAACATAGGCCAGAAAGGCAGCAGTCAGGGTTGAGCAGCCAAGGAGGCAACATCAAGCTGAGTTGCTCCCAGAACACCTGGAGGGAAGGGCAGGAGCTAGGGAGATGGCTTGGAGGCTCCTGGTCCTAGGCAAGACCTAAAACTGCACCCTGCCAGGATAGGGAGGACTGGTGGGACTGCCGGTGGTGTGACAACCCCCGTGTAAATACCAGAGGTGAGACCTTTCCCAGTGTAAGGCAGGCCAGGGCGCCTAAACCCTAGCACGCCCCCCCCCACCCCCCCAATCCAGTGGGTTGAGAAAATGTGTGGTGGCAGGTAAGCCAGGTAAGCTCCTTTAAGCACCTGAGCCTGTAGGGGTGGATGACCCTGGTAAGTTGGGCCAGGCACGCTTTAGGAAGCCCCTGAGCCTTTAAGGAGGGAAACCCCGAACCCTTAGAGAGAAAGGGCAGAATTGTGGGGCCAGCTAAGCTTATGAGGAAGTGGCTGAGTCCAAGAAGGCTCAAAGGAAGGGGCAGAGTGTTGGCACAGGAAGGTCCACAGATGCCTGGTGAAGGGCCAGGGCAGAGTTAGCCCTGAGTTAGGTGAATCAGGAAGTTGCCACTCAGATGAGGGCCCAGTGAGTGGCCCAATAAGCTGGGCTAGGGCTGCTTGAGGGGCAAGAGAGAGCAAATCAGGCAGTTGCCACTCAGATGAGGACCGTGGGACAGGCCCAACAGGCTGGACTAGGGCTGCCGGAAGTGTAAGAGGACAAGACTAATGATCTCCAAGGAAGTAGGGCGATGTGTATGTGGCCTAGAGGGCTGAGTGAAAGAGGACCCTGTGAGAGGGGGGCAGTATGCTACGGACCTTACAGAGGTCTGGATTCAGCCCGGCTGTGAGCTGGAGCAGTTTATTATAACAGCATAACATCTGCAAGCCATGGGGCACGTAAGGGGTGGTTGGAGCATGTAAACACTGCCCCATTACAACTGGGGCACTAGAAGGGCAGTCTCCTGCCTATTTAACATCCTAATTATTTAACAAAGTGTGGCAGTGGGACAGAGCTAACATCAGGCCCGGAAGTCACCCTCGTCACAAAAACGCTACCCAACACCATAGAAGGAACTAGGCAAGCCTTCCAAAGGAATTAGGCCATGGATTTTTAACCTTTTTGGGTAAGTGTAGCCCCCGGCAGCCAGACATGGACCCCTTTGGGTCATGTGGCTCCTCAACTGCCCTCTGCCTTACCTGCAGCCTGCCTTCCTTAAAGCAGCAGGAGCCCCAAGCTCCCTGCTACAGATGGTTCAGCCAGGGATGATCCCACCTTGAGCAGGAGGTTGAACTAGATGACCTTGTGAGGTTCCTTCCAGCCCTACTTTCCTATGATCCTAAGATGAATGAATTTTACACAGAAACAAGCCTTCCAAAGGAATCCAACAAACAAAGTATCAGACACAAATGGAAACTGGCAGATAGGCAAAGAAAATGCTGTCGTGTCCTAACTGCTACTGCCAAGCAAAAACTTGAGAAAGTGATCTATAGTTATCTAGAGAGTAACATATTGCAAACTACTTATAACTCTTCATACTAGGAACATTCTAACGTTTTGGATCAGTCATGTTGGATAAAGAAGGATTTCCTCTGCCTTTAAAACCAAGCAAATGCTTCATAAAGGGCAAAAGCTGAAAAGGATATGGTGTGTTTAACTGAAGTGTTGTCAGTATGCATTTAAAGACTCAAGCAAACCTGTTGTATTTTTTAAAAAAATAAGCACACATTTATTTCTCTCTCTCTCTTTTGCTTGTAGAACATGTGTTTGTTTCCTTAGTCTACCTTGGTCTTCTCTATTTTAAATTTCTGTATGTAGCATACAGTGAGCCTTCACTAAATAATAAATAAGATGAACAGAACTGTCAGCACTTCTATGAGTAAACTTCACATCATCTTCTTGCTCAAGCAAGGCAGCATGTTTTTATTTATCTACTTTTAATTTAGATGTTGTAGTGGAACCAGATGACTGCTGAGAAAATAAAGGAACAACGAACCCCTTCCACTTCACTTAATATGCACATTATAGTTATTGCTTTTTAAAATGAATATATTTTAGTAATGAGATTACTTGGATTATTACATTTGAATGTGTAGTGTGCCAGATGTAGCCGGGTTTTTTAGTACTGAAGTATGAGGCCTGCAGTGTCAAAATGTAGGGAGTGAACAAACCTGTTTCAAAAATCAATAAAGTCCATTTCACCATTAACTAGAGGTTAACTAGCTGCTAAACCTTTACTACTTCATAAAGCTGTCCACAAGGATAGGGAAAGGGAAACATATTTTTACTGATAAAGTTAACAATAAGCCAAAGAGCAATGATGAAAAGTGCTGACATTTGAAAAATTAGTCTTTAGATTAATGTGAATATGAACAAAACTGCATACTTTATTTGTTAGAAAAACATGCCAACTTCATCAAAACAAGCAAGCAAGGGGTTTTCATAATGAGTTTTGATGGCTTTATGCTGCACCAAAAGTTTTAATATTTTTTACTGTACCAAAATTATTAGTTGACTCTGGTGATATTATCCACTTCATTGGCTTTTCAAAAGGTACCAGTGGCTTAGGGTATCTGGATGCTAGAAGTTTTCAAAAGCAAGACAGTAATAAATTACTTCATTGTTATTTAAAACCATTGCAACTAATATGTTTTCTGCCACAGAGGACGCTGTATTTATAAGCAAAGGAAAAGTATATTCCTATATACCATACCCGTGCAGAATTCACACCGATTTTACTGCTATTGTCTTTAACAAGGTGCTTAGAGACAGTAAGGTCTGCAAACATTAGGCTTGGTTCAGAGATGAACTGAAACCCAGCACCTATTTTAAGAAATGTGCGGTCATAAAAATGAGCTGAACAAAGAACGCTACAGAAGTATGCACAGAGTAAAGTGTCTGAAGCCCAATACAGATACTCAGTTTCTCCTGGGAGAGTCGCTACTCTCACTGGAAAAACCATGAGTATACAGATATTCAGTCTTTTTTTCCCATAGTAAAAATGGTTGCTCCAGGAAAAAAATAACCTGGGAACATCCATAAGTAAATGACTGCCAGGAGTTTTGCCTGAGACAGCCAACATCTGCACATGCCATGGCTTCTCTTAGAAGAGAACATAGCTCTCCAGCATCCCCCTGCAGTCAGTCAGTCACCT